CCATCCCTCCATTCATGTGTGTCCTCTGCATATGTATGATTTTAAAAGTGTAAGACAGTTAAACCTCACTAAACTTCAAAGCTTCAGACAATCGAGGCAACTTCAAAGTCAAGTCCTAGCAGTGAGCAGTGACTTCAAAGTCCCTCTGCCTGTATGGATGTTGTTAGGCAGCTCAACGCTGCGGATGTAAAATGTAAATGCTAACACACCCAAACAATCAATAAAAAAAATACTTAAAAATACTTAAAAATACCATCCACTTAAAAATACTGTGGATGGTGCTGAGAGCACCATCCACAGATAGAGCAGATGCTTCTCTGTTGGCTGGTTCTTCTGTATAATAAGATGTGTATTACTGTCAAAATAAAGAAAAACTAAAAAGTACATTATTCTTGACAAAAGGAAATGTAGTTGTCACTTTTCCTTGCTGGGAATGAGTCCAGTCTTTGTAGAGTAAGTTATTGACAGAAATTGCATCCATGAGCCCTTTTCTCTGTAATTTGCCCGTGGCTGCATGAGCACCACTGTGACTCTTCAGGCTGGAAAACGTTTTAAATGCTGACCAGGATCGGAGGCCGTGCTCACACTACATTATGTAAATAATTTTAGAGAAAGCGCAGAGCTAGAGCTGGGAGGCGGTTAGCCTAGCTTAGCATGAAGACCAGGGGTGAAAGTAGGCTGGTACGGTCCAGTGCTCCGTACCACAAAAAGATGCAGTACCTGAAGAGGGGACAGCAGCTGCCTGCCAAAACCCCACGTACAACCCGTCACGATCGCATTCCCAACAAGACAACACATCTGTTAACATGCAGATAATTACCTAAAATTACTAAATAAGCGACCCTGAAAAGGATAAGCGGTTACGTATAATGGATGGAATGGCTGAACAGAGCCACCTGCTTCTGCTAGCTGTTCCTCCTCTCTCCCAACCTTTATGCTAAGCTACGCTAATTGCCTCTCAGCTCTCCACACAGACATGAGAGTGGTATTGTTCTTATTAATTCTGTAAAAAAAAAAAAAGCGTATTGCTCAAAATGTCAAACTACTTCTTTAGAGCTGCATTTGAAACTGGCTGTGATGTGCATCAAGTTCAGGTAATAAAGGAGGATCCACCTCCAAGGGAGTGTTGGGTGACAATTTCTGCTGCACTTGCACAAATCTTGGTTTAAGTATTAAACCTTTTTAAGAGCACAATAGAGTTGAACATTGACTTTGGTCATAAGTTTGACTTTATTGGTCAGCCAGTTATACCAGGAATTAGGGTCAATAACTCTCTTTAGTGACAAGGTGAGTTTTTACCTTCCACAGATAACAGTGTTTTGTTAAAGCCAGCCAAATTTACTTTGACCAGCTTGTTTTTTTTCATAAAGGTCCTTCCTTATCCTCACAGCCAGGGTAAATTCCCCTTTGACTCACCAGTAAATATTGAGTAAATGTTTAAATGGGAGGGCATTTCTACTGAAACATTGGATGCTTCTCAGTATCGCGGTGTTTAATGTGCATCAGATAAACATTGCGTGGCGAGACTAAACCTATTCTCTGTTTTTCTTATTTTGGGTTCAAAGCTGAAATGGTTTAAGAGGCTTTATATTAAGTGACAGAGAAGTCTGGCTTATCTTTTTATACGAGACTCAGTGCTATGTTGCATCCCTCTGAGGGTTTCTCTCTTCATTTCAGCAGATGCTGTTTAGACTGTGTATAAGCCTGAGAGGACAGACGAGAGTGAAGGATATGAGAAAAGGCGGAGCACGTACATTGATGAGAAGAGATGATATAAGACAAGGAAAGTAAAAATGAGGGAGTAGAGTGTGTATGGAAGATGTAAGTATAGAGAATAAAAGACTTAATATACCTTTTTCTTCTAAAACTTTGTAATGTTCTGAAGACATTTTCCTCACCTTACTGTAACATACACACTGTATAAGGACGTAAACTTTCTGTGACACTGGTGACAGATTAAATTAAAAAAAATGATAGGATTACACTCGTATCATTCATACTGTGGATTAAATGTGTTGTGAGAAGGTGTGGAGAGATGGGATAAGAAGAAGTGATGAGGGGTGGAGCAGAAAAATGAAAGAAATTGAGAAAGAACAAGAAAGGCGGAGATTAGCAAAGATAAGAGAAAGCAGAATTGAGAGACACAAAGAGGAAATTAGCTCTTAAAATGGATGAAATGTCTCTCTTTTTTCTTTCACTATTAATCTGTGTCATTACTGAGATCACATACTTGAAAACCCTGCAGTGTGAATGTAGGAGAATTGAATATCCACAGGAAATGGCTGTGTAAAGGGAGGAAATGACTCCTGGCAGAACCAGCACGGCTCCTCACAGTATGACAGTTTTCTCTACTACCTCTGTTTAACCTGGACAGATTTTTGAAAGGATGAGGACTTACACTCTCTTTCCAATTCTCACCTTGGTCAGGTGTGTATCTGCGTACTATATAAAAACCTCTTGCTCTAGTATTCTAGCACTACTGATCTGTCTCCAGTATCACTGGTTTAAAGCGGAGTACCTGTTTGTATTCCATATGTCTCATCGCATATTTTACATGAACAACCTGCAGCTCACGCTGCCAAGAGAGTGTTCAACTGTTAGCCCTGCCCATGCACAGCATTTATCCACACCGTATCATATCATTTTCATGCTGAAATAGCAGCTGAAGCAAAAGTAGGGACGTGCAAAATCTGTAAAGGTAAACTATGTAGACGTTTCAAGAAACGTCCAAATGAAACATAGACATCCATTCTGAATGGGAGCAGTATACGGCCAGTTGAAAAGCAGCATTCAACAAGAGCAAGTTTTAGCTAAATGTCCAAGAACAATGCTGCCAATTCCTCAAACCACTCAAATAACAGGAGAGATATCCTTTCCTGCACACACAACTAACCCCGGGTTATGCTTCCATTGAACCACTTGGGCATACAACTGGTGAGAGGATATGCTGAAAATCAGCCGATCAGGCGATTCGAATGATTTTTGAACCGCAAAGAGGTAAAAAGAAAAAAAGTGTACTTTAGAGAGGAGTTGTTGTACTAAACATGATAAAGCATAATCCTACAAATCCCAGGAATTCTGGGAAAAGAGTAATTGGTTTGAAATCAAGGGAACATCTTCAACTCTACCTGACTAAAAGCAAAAACAGTCTTGATTAGTTTTGACAATTTAGTAAATTTATTAATAATACAGCAACAAATGGTCACACAACACACATCCTCTAATCTAACTTGGAGAACTCGGCTATGTAAAAATACATGCATATCTTTAAAAAGGAAATGTTTAAGTTTCACATAATGTTAACTGACTTGCAATTTGCTTGTGAAGAATTGCCCTCAAAGACATGTAATGTGACATGAGAAGTGCCTTACCAAAACTTGAGACCTAAAAAGAACTTAAACCCAGCTCTGAATGAAGCCTATTGTGTGTGTGTGTGAGGCAACAATTAGTCCACGTTGAGTCATCATCAGGATTTAGGTAGAGGCAGGGTGGGCCATGACAAACAATCAAATGGATTAAATCTTTCTTGTTCTGGTCGCCTTTGCTTTAAATTTGATATTTAGCCATTAAAACAATTCTTCCATGCAACTGGTGTGTGTGCATACAGAGTTCATTGATTCATATTTACAATAAATTGTATGCTGGAACAGACCTACAGTGCTGAGCTTGAATACATACTTGCTATATATAGCGCTAATCCTTTGAGAACAACCCTTTGATCAAGTGAGACATTGATCTTCATTCAGACAGGATTTATATAAGTCCATACATTCAAGTCTATGTACAGGTCATCTAGTCCATGTGCTGCTCTCCCAGTGATTCCCCATGTTAATGCATGTCGTCATGCATGCAACAGATGGGTAATTTAGCCCCAAAGCTACCCCACATCTTGGCCAGAAAATGGCAGATAATGCCTCCCCATAGGTCTAGTATAACTCACAGGAGTCAAGTCATTGCTAAAACAAACACCATCCTTAAAGAACCACCTCGATCTGACGCACATCTGGCCCTGGAGTCTCCCCACTTCCTCACCCTATGCTGTCCCCCTGGCTTGTCCTTAATCAACAGGCAGCATTTCTATTTCTAACCCAAGAGAAACACCTGGAGCTGATCTGGACGGTCTCTCCCACCTCCGGGGGTTCAGTGGAAGAGCAGATTCATCACATTCACTGGGGCTTTTCCAGGTCCCCAGTGTGTACTGTATGAACAAGGAAAGCTGCAAAGAAAGCATGTTTGCAGAGGCGAAACCACCCTGGTTTTGGAGTAGTTTCTATTTTAAACCACAGGGAGCCCCTGGACAGTGGAGTGCTGTGTGAACAGAGATGCTAGATAGTTTCAGAGTAGGTGGTAAACTCCAAATCCCAGCATGAGGCACGCTCTGAAGGGTCGTTTACCATGCCTTGTCCTCCTTTACGTCACAGAGATGAACACTATCGGTGTTGATGCTACAAAGTACACTGCTTTATGCACTGTAAAGGCTGCAATATATATATACTGTATATAAAGGCCTTTTTTAAAATTCATATTCATTGAGCACCCAAAGAGCTGTTCAATGAGATGGAGAAGCATCCTACAGATTCTCTGGAGGCCAGAAATACTCCCATATGATTCAAGGAGATTAGCTATGGCAATTTAGACAGCACTATGTCATATGGCCCACAGAGGATGCATGAGAAATGCCTGTTTTATATTTTGAATTGACTCGAATAAACTCAAATTGCAATGCTCTTCATTCCATTGTTCTGACCGAGTGCCCATTTTCAAATGGATGAGACAAACGAGCATCTGTTGAAGCTGAGACCTAAATGGATTACATTTGGTTTCGAAAACTATGAGTTGAGATTAAATTGAGTCCAATTGGGTCTGCATGATAGCAATAGATTTTCAATATTCAAAAGGGAATTTATTCACCGAGGGATGTGAACCGTAAAGTCTTAGAACCCGTCCAACGATAACCGAAAGGTTAAAGCTGTTTTAACTTTTCTTATCTCCACCTCCAGACAACTGGAGCTACACTCCCCTGACGCCAGGCACACCGTGGTGCTGCGGTGCCCAGACCAACCATCTGCCCTGTCCTGGTTCTCTGTCATGCACTCCGTCACCTCCAAACTGGCACAGGTCTGTCTTTGATTTCATCGATTTTACATATATTCCCATATACGTGACCATTCCAATTAGATAGTTCAATGATTCTATACTGTGGCCACGATTCGGCTCCTCGGAGCTGCTTTAAATCTAATGCGCCCTGAACGATCATCCCACCACAGCGGGCGCTGGCAGAGGTCATCCAGAGCACCGCCAGGACGGGGGTAGCTGGCAGCAAAGAGATACGACACCTGGGATGGCTGGCAGGGAAGGTAGGACTGTGTGTGTGTGTGTGTGTGTGTGTGTGTGTGTGTGTGTGTGTGTGTGTGTGTGTGTGTGTGTGTGTGAGTGTGTGTGACGCCCATGCTTCTATATTTCTCACATTTTATTGGGGTAACTTTTCTTTACCGTTTTGTGACTATGGTGTGTAGGTGTATATGTGCATGTGTGCTCTTGTTCTGTCTTTCTGAGAACCAGTTTTAGTTTTACCCCTCAAAAAGGTTGGACATTTTTGGATCATCTTTAAAGGGCTGTTTAAAGGTTAGAAGTTGATTTTTATGTTTAGTGTCCACAGAGTTGAAACATGAGATGATGAAAGATGTGATATATTCTTTTTTTCTGAAATATCGATTTCTGGTTGTTACAGTTGTTATTTATTAATGTTTTTCCGTCTTTTTTTTAGATGCATCATTTATGATTTGCCTTTTATTTAATAATTGATCAATTGCATTTAAATATGTTTCCTTAATTTAGTGGTTATCTAATAATAACAGGGATATGGTTAGAATTAGGTTTAGATTTTCTTTGAGCTCAGAAAGGCATTATAGCAAACAGGATCTAGAATTACAAATGTGTGTGAGCGCATCAGTGTTTGCATGTTTATCTTTTCATTACTGTACACACTTATGCAGACCTCTTTGAAATTCATAAGCACTGACACACACAGGTAAAGCTTCACTCTCTCTTTCATACAAAGACATCATCACCTGTGCAAACATATCCACACACACACACACACATTCCTCTGTAATTTAGTCCTCATGAATTTGCCAATATTTGATCCTTCAAATGCAGTACAATACTGTTACTTAGCAACATATCCTCATTATGGTAAAAAGCTGACCCTCGACCCTTTAAATCCCATGATATGATTGGCTGAGGCAGAACATGAAAGAGCAGTTTAGGATTCCATGGCTTGGCTGCAGATAAGCACTCATAACGAGAATAGTTATGGAGCATTGTGAAATGAAATACCGGGCTGTGTGTGTGTGTGGGCTCTGAGTTTAGAGATTAACAGCGTGTGTTCTGAAGGGGAAAGCAATTGGGTTTCCTCGTTAGGAGGGATTGGTAGGCGAGGGGGCACGGCAAAGACAATCCGTAGAAAGTGTACCTGCAGCTGCACACCAGCTCCCTTTTATTTATAGCTAATTCTCCACCGGGTACACACAGCAGTATAGTGAATGTACACATTTCTAGTGAGGGTCCAGAACAGCTTCATAACATAATAATAGTTCATTTTTGGCATATTTTGGCGTGAAATATTACAGAAGACAGATGGAAAGAGATGAAGACTGGTCTACACCAACTGCTGAGTACACACTTCGTACAGTCGTTTACATATGAATCTCACACACACACACACACTATTCCTCTCTTTGACACACCATTAGTCTCATAAAGCCAGCTCACTGGCAAACAACCATTGATATTACAGATGAAATACCTGCTTTCGTCTAACGATTTCAGTAGTCGTCACAAATATAAGAGGGCATAGGAATATCAAATCCCGCAGCATCAAATGAATTGAGGTTGTGCTTGATTCAAATTCAACATGAGCAGCCTTGTTGGATTGATTCAATTGATTTATCTTTTACTGCTCCACAAAGATCTGCTGATATTATTACAAAAATTAATACTAAATGCTTTTCTGGGCCGCTGATCAGACTCGATAATCATTTTTAAGTTATTGCCTTCAGGCTCTGGTAATTTGTGCACTTAACAAAAATAGTGCAATACTCCAGATAATGGTTTCAAACTGCTTTTTTGTTTCAATGTTTTTCATCTGAATAGAGCACATCCCCAATGACCCTGCACAGGATATAAAAATCGGAGAGATGATGGATACAACCTTTCCTGTCTCATTGTTTATGTGTTTGTGCTGCAGACGGAGAGTGAGAAGCAATGCTGGAAGCCGGTGCTGATGGTGGTGACAGAGAAAGACCTACTGCTGTATGAGAGTCTACCACGAGGCAAGGAGGCCTGGCAGAGCCCTGCACACACGTATCCACTCTTAGCAACCCGGTAGGTCCACCCCTCATACGTGCAGACAATTGGAGGTACTTTGTGCTAATTTGAATGTTGCAAAGCATCTTAACATGCAAAATTACAATGTTGAATATTGTTACCATTATCTGCTAAACACCAGTGTGTTAGCATTTTCATTGTTAGCATGACAGCCGTTCTTTTTTTATTTACTTTACCACAAGTCCTAAGGACAACAAGAGTGAGTCTACTACAGCCATGCAAGCGGCTCTTATCCACAGTGAAGCCTTTAGTTAAGTCTAAAGTCAACATGCTAACATGCATAGCTCTGCAGAGTGGTTAAACAACTATTTGAATGTGTAACTTCACCCCAGGTCTGAGCCTACGTCCACCAATTAAGAAAAATGCACAAAAATATAAAGTGGGCAAGGGCCTCAGAGATAAAACCACGGCCACTTCAGTATGACAAAAGCCTTGATGCAGAGTAAACAAATGTGTATTTGTGTCTGTGTTCATCCAGTCTGGTCCACTCTGGCCCTGACCGGGGGTCGCCACACTCTGGCACAGAGCTGTTCTTTGCCACTCGGACCGGCACACGACTCGGCATCGAGACTCACCTGTTCCGGGCAGAGACCACCAAGGATCTGTCCCTGTGGACCAGACACATAGTCAACGGATGTCACGCCTCAGCTGAGATGATCAAAGAAGTCACGACAAGTGAGTACTGATACGCAACGCATGAACATTTAGATTGAGTAACTCAAAGTACCTTTTAAAACGGATAAAGACACTTTAAAGAGAGAAGGGAACACACAAACACGTAGCTGTGGATGGAGCGGAGTGAGCAGCACAGGTCGCCGTGCTGGATTCTGTGATGCATCCTCAGACGTGTTCGGGCTCGCTGCAGCAAAACGTATCCAGAGAGACCTAAGAGTCTCTACTGCCTGAGGTCTTGCAAGCCTAAGATAAAGTCTAAATCCAGTGCATAAAGCAAAATGTAAACATACACTATGAGTCAACTCATACACTGAGATAGGGGAGGGCTTGTGATATAATTTGACATCCATATGGAAGATGTGGACAAAGCACTTGCTATTTATAGAAAGGAATGCTATTCGTGTGTGTGTGTGTGTGTGTGTGTGGGCGCACTTTTTGGCATTAGGTTTGTGCCGTCCAGAAAAATCCAACAGAATGCCCCCCCCCCCCCTTCTTTCTTTGCCTCCCCTTCTCTCCAAGCACAAAATGTCCTGGGAACTGCACATTTCCCCTGGGCCCCCCTCCTCTGATAACGCTGTGCCAAATTAAGTTTCACTTCAGACTCCACTCATATATATGAAACTGATTTTTTCCAGCAGCAAATGATACAAGACCTCAACACTACATCCTGGTTGTCAGCGTGGTTTCCGCCTCACTAAACGGTTAAAACTCTCCCTAAATCATGTCTTCACCCACTGATCCAGGTGTTACTCTGTGATAGGCATAGCAGGGCTTCATTCACGCCTGCAGAGCTCAATTTGAATTAAACACTCCTAAGATGTTTCATAATAATCACATTTTGTGTGTCGTTAAAAGGACATCTTATTTAATCCCATGACAAAGCGCTGTCTAGACTAAAACAAGCTGCTCAGTATTGACGTGCTGTAGCTCAAGTCAACAAATAAAGTGAAGGGCCCTGCACGCCCATGGTGCACCCACACGGATGGTTTTACTTATTTTGGATGACACAACTCTTCACAGGAGTGTGTGGGATTGTGCAGACTGTTTGATTAACACCTTCCTTATTCTCCTGTAAACTATGTGAATATTACGCCTGTTATCATTCGCATTGGTGCATGGCGTCCAGTGACCGCATGTAATTCTCTGCCCACCTTAAAACCTGAGCAGATGTCTAATCGGCTGGGAAAAGAGAAAACACCCCTGCCTTTGAACCTGCATTAACTGATTTTTTTTGGTGCCATTTGAGGGAGCAGATATGTAACAACATTAGCATTAATTAGTATGATTAATTAGCATCAATTTAGCTGCCAAATGCTGACGACTGTAATGCTAACATTTGCTAATTAGCAAAAACAAAGCACTGATGGAAAGTCATTTGTTTTGCAGGTATCTAGTGATAAAGTCTAAAATCTAAGTATTGTACCTTAATTGAAACCTGATAGTGCTACAGTAGATGAAATGTTCGGAGTTCAGCAGATTACAATTCATCCTGATGAAGACGTGGATGTCTGTAACAAACTGAATAGCAAATAGTTGAGATATTTCACTCAAAATCAAAAGTCAGCCTCATGGTGACGCTTAGAGTCAGGGGATCATCAAAATCATTGGGATTCATCCTCTGGAGACCGTGGATTTCTGGTCAAAATGTCATTGTAATCAGCTAAATAGTTCTTCAAATATCTGGACTGCCAATCTGACACCACCATGCAAAGGCATGCCGCTACAATGGGTTGAAGTGTAATACAGATTTAGGATACAGGTCGGTGACGCACGCCGAAAGAATGAAGAAAAATGAGAATGGTTTTGAATCTTTATTGCTCACCATTGAATTTCTATCTGAAATGGATCCCATAACTTTTCTGAAACAGATTGATGTCAGCACCAAGCACTCGCTTTCTTGTTATGGAAGTAGAAAAGTAATTTACACTTCCCTGAGAGTGTGATAATGCATACAAAGTGCATTCACTCATTTTTCAGCAGTTGCCACCTGACGAGTTGTTGCGCTGACCTTGTCATCTTTTCATCTGTTACATTCTGATAAATCATTGTGATGGTTTATTCACTGTCAAGGCTAGATAGATTAACTCTCAATCACTCGACGGGCAGCAGGCCATTCTTAGAGCGACTTTAAAGGAGAAAGTAATTTATTCGGCTCCAAAATTAAATTTCCCAGGGACTTGGCCTGCAGTCATTCTGTTATTATTATGTCCAAGGTGACTCAAACTTTTCAAAGGTTACATTGATATTTTGAGCAATTAGCAGGGTAAGGCACTGCCTATCATGCAGTCTTAAGGTTCAAACCCCGCTTATGTCTCCTGCATGTCTGCTGTCCCTGTCTTCTGTTGCTTGTCTCGCTTCACTGGAGTCTTAATCAACCTACGATGAATCAATAATGACAATCCTGTGACATGATCCAGCAGATAGTTTGTCCAGTTGTCATTGGTGTCGCAGATTATAATGTTTTAAGGACATAGTTTGCAATTTTGGGACTTTAATTAGCTTTCTTGCCCGAGAGTTAGATGAGAGGATAGATACCACTCATGTCTGCACGCTAAATATGAAGCTGCAACCAGCTGTCTGTTGCCTTCGTTGAGCAACTTACCTTATCTTTCCATAAAGACTGGAAACGGAGAGAAACGGCTGGCCTGACTCTGTCCAAAGATAACTAAATCTGCCTTCCTAAAGCTCCCTAATTATGTCTCGCTTGATTAATCTGTACAAAAACCAAAGTGTAAAAACCTCAAGTTGGTCGTGGTGTCAAGCTACCTTGAACCACTGATTCAAAACATTATTTTATGAGCAGCTTCATATGTATGTTTGCAGTTTGTAATCCCTCTTTTCCTCCCTCCTTCTGTACACCCGCAGGCTTCTCGTTCATATCGTTGTCAAAGGTGACAGCTGCAAAATTGTCTGAGAGGTCGATTGGGTCCCGTTAATGAACGGGTAAACAGCTTAATGACTTGGAGTACTTAAAAGAAAGCCTCAGTGGTTTGTGGAAAATGAAGCTAGTAACCTGCTGTGATACTTGGAAGTTTAGCGCAGTGGGAGGATAAATGTTAAGTATTTTACCGGCTGTTAATGTCATTTACAAGTTTTAAGCTAATGACAAAGAGTTTTGTCCTGTAAAAACCTCTTAGCACTTATTGTTATGGTAACAGTAAGCGTTAGGGTTTCACTGCCTACCTCTTTCCCTCATTCATTCAGCTCTCTCTGTGTTATCACTGTCTGCCCCTCCTGTCTTCTCCACTCACCGTCAAAGAGGGGCTTTTGTTTCAGCCTGAAAATCCCGTGTGTGTGTGTGTGTGTGTGTGTGTGTGTGTGTGTGTGTGTGTGTG